GGTACTTGATCCCCTAGCTGTTATCCCACTGCCGTCTCTTGGCCTTTCCTGGATCCTTGAGGATCCACAATTTAACTCTTTGACTTATGAGAAAGATACTCTCCACCTGGTGCTCATGTGAAGGTGGGAGTCCATATTGAATAAGACACAAAAAGAGGCAGTCCTTCATAGAGAAGACTAATTGGGGGTTTGTATTGTTTGTTTTGCTGTGTAGACCTGCCGAGACCTGAAGGATCGTCAGCAGTTGCTAGCATACAGGAGCAAGGTAGATAAAGGATCCGCAGAGGAAGAGAAGATCGATACCATTCTCAGCAGCTCGGTGAGCAGCTGCACTTTCCCCTCCAGTTGTCCTAGGAGACAGATAGTTCACAAAGTAGTGTCAACTGTATGTTCCCAAGGTTTGGGCAGTCTTCTTGGATGGATATGATCTACCTATTCGAAATAAGAAGTGGGTAAAATAGATTGTAAGTATTTGGGGAGTATAGCTGATTATCTCTCATAGCATGAAATTACTGAATTTTTTGTTAATGTGGAACTTCATTTCCTATTACATACTTTGATACCTGTGCTAAGGTCAGCTAAAACTAGTAAATTTTGGTCCTGAGGAGGACAGAACCAGGATAAATGCCTTAAATCAGGCATTCTATAAAATACAGAATAGATATTTAATCCATCTCTGAATAAATGAACTCCCCCACATAGTAAAAAAAATTTCCAATTACTCCCAATCCAATCCTTACTTTCCTTTTTCTTATGTAATTTGCATTCTTTTTTATTTTTAAATAGGGCCATTAGGGATATAGCTCGTTTTTTTTTTTTTTTTTTTTKTTTTTTTTTTTTTACACAATACCTTTATTTTATTTTTATGTGGTGCTGAGACTTGAACCTAGTGCCTCATGCATTCTAGGCAAACGCTCTACCACTGAGCCACAACCCAGCCCTATAATTTGCATTCTGATCTCTGCCTCCTGTGGGGATAAGTGAAAACTGATCACACACCTTCATTCTTTGCTCTCTCTATAGCAAATCCGATGGAAGAATTAAAGGGCATTAGCTACCCTGAAACCTGCCTCATTTCTTCCTTTCTGCCTCTGAAAGTAGAGAGTCCGCTTCTTTGGGAGAGTTACAGCATCACATCACTTGGCCCCATCATTCAACAGGCAGTGCCTACTAATCTTGGGACAGAAATCAGCACCTGGACACAGAGAGCTTCAGACTGATCTTCTGTACAAGGGATGTTATCTAAAGGCCACAATTTAACTCTTTGACTTGTGAGAAAGATACTCTCCACCTGGTGCTCATGTGAAGGTGGGAGTCCATATTGGGTAAGATCTCTCTTGGTCTAAGAAAAGTGACCATTCTTGAAAGGAACTCTCCTAGAATAAGAGGTATAGGTGTCACAGGATAGCTGCTTCATTTCCTCTTAGCTAAYTATGGTCCAGAACCTAGTGCGGGATGTTTGCAGTTCTGCTCTGAAGGAAGATAGAACAGAACCAAATTGGCTGCATTCCAGGGGCCTCTGGAAGTGGGGCCAGTACTGCTCAGGACCTGCTGGAGACACACTCAAACCAGGCTGTGCAACCCTTCTTCATTATGTCAGATGTTGCTAAGATATTGTGTTTCTTCAGCTAAAACCCCTCTGCTGTCCCAGTCTACTTTTCCCCAAAAAACTTAGGATTCCTCTCTCACCGGCATACTGAGATGACCTTGATGAGATATCGCCCTTATCTTTTACTATCCCAGACCCACCACCTTATGCGGAGCTCAGATTCAGCAGTGCTGGAGTTTTCCCTTTAGGCAAAAATCTCATTATCTTCCCAGAAGTGTCCAGAGAGTTTCACCTAGGCTAAACTCAGCAGCATTTCTCTGAGGATATTTAAATGGAGGTTTTATTTTCACACTTGACTTTTGACAGAATGTTCGGTGATGCTGTTTTCTGCCCTGAACCAATATCAGCCTGTTTGACTGACCTGGGTTTTCATACATGCCTACACTCCTAATAAAGCTTTTTCGTCCTTTGTGCCTTTTCTTCCCTGCCCAGTTGTTTTATGCTGAATGGTGAAATAATTACTCAGTGTCTTGTCTGTGTCCGTGATTTCATTCAGCTGCCTGTGAACACATGTCAGGTTATAGAGTAATGGTGCTTATGGCAAAGCAGGGCTGTATGGTAACAGAAAAAGCACTAAGCTGAGTGACCACAAGATCTAACTTCTTTTCCAGCTCTGCCACTGACAAGTTATGTGGTGCTGAGTGAATCCATTTCTCTCTGGACTCATCTTCATCTGTGAAGTGGGGGTATGATAATCTGTAACCCTGTAGAGTTCTGTACTCCTGTGTCTGGAGTGGGAGAAGTGGTAGGAGGAAAAGACACCATGCGCCTACAGAGGCACAGAGCATGCTTTACGGTGACATGGTTCTCTGTTGGAGGAAGTTTGCCCCTCAGGAAACATTGGGCAATGTCTGAAGACATTTTTCATTGCCATACTTGGTGGTGCTACTGGCATCTAATGCATAGGACAGCCCCCCACAACAAGGAATTATCTTGCCCCAAATGTAAGTAATGCCATTGTTGAGAAACCCTGCTTTAAGGGGGACAGCCTCCAACTTTTGCTCCTCCCTTTGGTAATCTTTGCAATTCCAGGTAACTTCGTATTTAATTCCTTTTCTAATGATCCTTGCTGTTGAAGAAATAAGAATCTAATTTGCTAGATTGTGCTAAAGTTATTGGTTCATCTTCAGATAAACGTTGGTAACTTTATTACCTAGTGTATCATTAGAATTGAAAAGCAGAACTACTAGGAGTATATRTACACATTATCTATCTAATCTATATTTTAATTTGTTAGAGGGATTTGATCTTATTCTTATGGTAGCTAGATAGACAGTCTATGTAAGGCAGTTGTCTTCATGTCTGGTGGTAGAACTTAAAATTCACAGGGCAGACAGTTGGGAAGGGAAGATGGAGATAAAGTGATGGAGAGCAGGGACAAGCTARAACCATGAGAATAGACTAGGACCCATCTCTCTTCTCACTGCCTCCAGCCTTGGAGTAGGTATCCTGAACGAGAAGCTGGTGGCCTTTGTCATGGAGCTGAAAAACACCTCKCCCAGGAATAAGCAGCTGAAGGAGGATCCAGAAAAAGGTTTAGCAGTTTTAAGTCCATCTGCTGCCATACACCAAGGTAGCCAGCAGATAAGCAACCATGTGAGTGGACTACGGAAGAGCCTGCCTTTCAGCCTTACAAGCTGAAATACAAACTGGTTGCGGRTTTCATTTACATCCTTAAGATTTTGGACAGAAGTAGCTCATGTGGTTCACTCTAACCCGAAATATGGGCAGAAATTGCTTAATGTAAATASGGTTTCCTTTCGTGGATATGAACAATGAAGAGAATTCTGGAAAAAATAGTTAGTCCTAGCCACATTGACATTACAAAGCTACAAATGAATCCCTATTTTTGAGAATGTACAAGTAAAAACAGGCCTAGAAATTATATCTGTTCTGTTGAACATATGCTGCGCTATACTGCTGTGGGAGGTTTTGAGCTTCACTTTCTGTTGAAGTTAGAAAGATCACTTGCAACATTAGAATGCCCTATCCACTGTTTTTGATGTAAGGAAGTGTTTTCTTAAATTTAATAACTATCATGTTCCTTACTTCAGGTGCCAGGGAGTTGGCTTTTAATGAGATTGGGAGTATGACATAGCAACCTTCCTAAAAGAGATTAGAGAAACCTGATGTAAGAGGTCATGTATTATATGATTTTATTTAATATGAAATATCTGGAATAAGTAAATCCATAGAAAGCAGCTTGATGGTTCCAGGGACTGGGGTTGGGGAGAGATGGGCAGAAATTGCTTAATGTGAATAGGGTTTCCTTTTGTGGATATGAACATGTTTTGGAATTAGATAGAGGTAATTGTATAATATTCTGAATGTACCACTGAATTATTCACTTTAAAATGGCTAATTTTATGTTAATTTCACCTCAAAAGTTTTTGGTTTTAAATTTAACAAGAGTACTAGAGACTTGAGTGCTTTTAAGTCCTCATCTCATGATCACTATTGCTATAAAATTGACCTGTGATTTCTTGAACAAGACAGGCTTGCAAAAGTAACTCAAGTAACGCTAAGATCTATATGATACTCAAGTCTCGGGGGGAAAAACAACTAGAAATCCAGGCTCTTCTGTTGGGGAAAAAAAGAGTCCTATACTGATCTGTTTTAGTACTCCTAGAAGTAGGGAAAGGAACTTGGGTCTTCATGTTTAGGTCAGGAAAACCTGCAGGTGGGACTGGCCCCTTTAAGACTCGGAGACTGAAGTACTCTGGTAGTTAAGGAGTCATAATGACAAACTTTCTTAAGTAATTCTACTTAGATATGTATTAGTTATCTGCCTGGACCAGAAGTACTGAGGAGCAGAGTCCATCTCAGTTGGGTTGGTGAGAGCTGTATATAGATGAATTAAACATCTACAAGTTTATTTTCTAAAATCTAGATGTCTCTGCCCTAGATAAGGGACCAGTGGTTTTTAGTTTGGGTTCTTTTCTACCCTATGGGGAACACAGAAAGTTTAGTTAAAGGGAGGATTTCCTTGAAATAAGATCCTATGTGTCCAGTCCTATTTCTGAAACCTAGGGAATGGAAGGGAGAAGATCCTGCCCATGAACACCTCTGAAATCCATTGCTAATATATATTCACTTGCTGAAAAAAATGCCTGTAGCCTATGGGAAGCAAATTACTTTGGGTTTCTGTTCAAATTTTTCATGAATATAGGATTCATGGGCAGCCAGTGATAAAGAATCCTCAGGGGGATCCATACTTAACAATATGAACTCCAGATTCAGTATTGGAGAAAGAGGTGCTGTAGCCTATCATGAGAACTTTACCCTAGGTACACATACCATAAGACAAGCTCTCCTGCATAGACCTCTGTTTTTCCATGGTAGGAAGCCATCTTGATTGGTATCTGTCACTGCAGGAGATGGTGGCTTGAAAATGGACATGCTAGAGAACCTTGAATCCCTACAGTTTGCTAGTGAGATTCCAGAGGAAGATCGTTTCTGGCTGTATTTGCAGGGTCGTTCTCGGGGACTGATGATTGAGGCCTGTGCCCATGCAACTTTCTTCTGCAAAGTATTCTATAATTTGAGGTAAGCTAGGTCTCCAAGTTCAGGAAGATAGATCAGATCTCACTGCTAAGAATCCAAGTGACTTAACCTTTTTTATATTGGAAAATAAATTTGGTAGGAGGATTGTTTTCTTACCTTTTCCAACCTGCACTCAATCGCTCCGGGTCTGAAAGGACCAGAAAAATTCATACCGGGGTCTCCTGGCATAATAAGACATGGATTAGTGCAATTTTCCTTTCAGTTGGTGAAATAATGATCATTCATTTTTACAGCAGGACCACCAGTTTATTTTCCACAGCTGTTAATGACTAGCCTTTCCTTGTCTATTGGCTGCAAATAGAGTCAATTCTTTCTTTGGAAGCTGACCTAATAGTGGACTACTTCATTTGAATTGATCATATTTATAAATAGAGCAGGAAGCYGCCGCTCAGTGAATTTGCTGATTGGCTAACAAGGATACTGATAAAGTTGGTTATACCCAAGATAACTGTTGAGAAACCAATATATGGACTTTCCAGGAGGCATTTTAGATTTGGCCAGACATTAAGAGAAAGTGTTCTCTTTCACCAGGAGAGAAGCTTTCCATAGAATATGGCTTATGATGCTTATATGGAAACACTAAGGCTTTAAGACTCTAGGTTTTACAGAAGTACAGAACAAATATAAGATAGTGAATAAAAATAAAAGTAATACTCTTATGTATTCAGAGGGTAGACTTTGTTAATCTTGGGTCAAAAAAAAAAAGGCATCCAGGACCAATACTAAGTCAGTCTCTGAAAAGTTTAGACTCAAATCCTTCATCCTCAATTTCTCAGGTCTGTTTTGCTTTTATAAGTCATTTATTTTAATAAATCATAACATTTTTATAAAAATGTTACCTGATTTCACAGGTATGTGCAAAACTGAAATAGCAAAGTAGAAAGAGTACATATATGGAAGGACAGGGGTTCACTCATCTTAACAATAGTGAAAATTGACAGCTGTCTGCGGGTGATGTCAGGGAGACAGAGGAATAAGAAGCCCAAGACCTCATAATTCCACAGAGACACTTAACAAAAAAAAAATATCTAAAAAGGCTTTATGAGAACTTTTGAAACCAGTTAATAAGTTGGTGGACTCCAGGAAAATGTAAAGCAAATAACAGCTACATGGAAAGAGTAAAGAAAAAATGGTTGCACTTGACTTGAGATAGCCTTTCTCAAACCACTACAACTTGGTATGATCAGGAGAAAACACCCAATTTAGGGATTTTACCTTAGAAAAGTGAAATGTATATTCAACATTCTAACTTTTCAGGGTTGCCTGAAAGATTGCCTGATGGGGGTCAACATACTTTGAATGAGAACCAAGAAGAGCTCAGTGGTTTCTTGTAGAATAGAGAATGTGCAGTATCCTGGTGAGACATAAGAGAGAGAGAGAAAGAGAGAGAGAGAGAGAGAGAGAGAGAGAAAGAAGTCCTCAGGATCTCCTTTTGGACAATTGGTACAATTCTCCCCCAGTATGTAACCAATCTATAAAGATTGAGAGAGGTGGATGTTTTTCACATTCTCAAATCCCAGCAAAAAATAACAAGATATATGAAGAAACAAGAAAACATGGCCCAATCAATGGAACAAATAATCTCTGGAAACCAACCCTAAAGAAGCAGATCTACAAATTACCTAACAATTCAAAATAGCAATCTTTAAAAAATAAAAAATAAATAAAAAAGCACAAGGATTTATAGAACTCAGATGAACAACTAAATGAAATCAGAAAAAGAACACTTGAACAAATGAGAATATCACCAAAAAGAAAGTATTAAAATCTTGAGCTGAAGAACAGAATGCTGAAATGAGACAATTCACCAGAGAAGTTCAACATTAGACTTAACCGAACAGAAGGATTGGTGAACTCAAAGTAGGATGATTAACATTATGAAATCAGAAGAAAGAAAGAAGCAGAGAGGAGGAGAAAGGAGGAGAAGAGAGATGAAGATAGAGGACACCATTTATCAGGTCAATAGATGCATGATGGGGATTTCAAAAGGAGATGAGAACCTATTTGAAGAAATACGAGCCCTAAACTTCCAAAACTTGAAGAAAGTCTAAATTCAAGAAGCTCAAAGAACTCTAACTTGTAATCTAAAGAAGCCCATACAAACACACCATATTCAAACTATCAAAGAACATTGAACACAGAAAAAAGACAATTCACATACAAGGGAGCTTCCAAAAGACTATTTCTCAACAAAAACATTACAGGCCAGAAAGAGTGATATGATATATTAAAAGTGTGTAAGAAAAAACAGCCAACTGAAAATACCTTATCTAGTCTAACTCCTTCAAACATTGAGGAGAAAAAATACCTTCCCAGATAAAAGATCAGGGTGTTCATCACTGATGGATAAACCTTACAAGAAATGGTAAAGAGAGTCCTTAACGTTAAAATGAAAAGATGCTAGATAGCAACAGGAAAGTATATAAAAATGATCTCTCTGGTAAAGTTAAATATATATGCAAATACATAGCCTTCAATAYTGTAATAGGTGGTTATATAAATAATTTCTAATTCTGATATAGAATTGTGAAAGCATGAAACAACTGATTATGTTAATGGATACAAAATATAAAAAGGTATAATTTGTGACAACAATAACAAAATGGGTGAGGGGAAGTGTAAAGAAATAGAGTTTTTATATGTGATTAAAGTAAAACCATATCGGTTTAAAATAAGTTATTATACCTAGGATTCTTATGTCTTTCTCTGTGGTAACCATAAAGAAAATCCCCATGGAAGATAAACAAAAGAAAATGATAAGGGAATTAAAACATATCATTACAAAAATGAAACACAAAGGAAAGCAGCAAGAGAAAAAGAGGAACAAAATAGCTACAAGATAAAGCAGAAAGCAATTCACAAAATAGCAAAAGTCCTTCCCTATCAGCAATTATTTTATATATAAATGGAGTAAACTCTCCAATCAAAAGACACAGAGTTGCTGAATGGAGAGACAAGGACACACAGTCTGAAATTAAAAAGATAGAAATAGATATTCCATACCAATGGTAACCAAAAGAAACCGGGCCATATTTGTATCAGCAATACTTTGTCAAAAACTGGCATGAGGGACAAAGAATGACTTATTTATTATGATAAAAAAAAMCAAATTCACCAGGAAGATATAACAAATGTAAATATATATGCCCTTAGTATCAAAGCATCCAAGTATATGTCAGATATTGGTAAATATTGTCAGAATTGAAGGTACTCAATAATAGTAGGAGGGGCTGGGGATATAGCTCAGTTGGTAGAGTGCTTGCCTTGCATGTACAAGGCCCTGGGTTGGATCCCAAGCACCAAAAACAGAACAAACAAATAATAGTAGGAGATTTCAACTCTCCATTTTCAATAAAGCTATAACAACCAGATAGGAGACCAAATAAGTATATAAAGGGGTGGAATCCAGTTGGGATCTAACAAATGCACAGCACTCTACTTGACAGTAGGAAACAATATATTCTGAAGTACACATGGAACATTCTCCAGGATAGATCACTGTCGGGCCACAAAATAAGTCTAAACACATCTAATATTAAAATCATATCAGGAATCTTTTACCACAATGAAATTGTTACGGTTTAGAGGTGTCCCCCAAAAGCTCATGTGTGAGACAATGGAAGAATTTAAACAGGTGAAATGATTAGATTATGAAAGTTGTATCCGAATCAATGGATTGATCAACTGATACAGATTAACTGGGTGGTAACTGTAGGCAGGTAGGATATGCTGGTCGCTAGGCATGTGCCTTTGAGGTTTTTATTTTGTTCCTGGTGAGTGCTCTCCCTGCCTCCTTGCTGTCAAATCCTAAGCCATTCCTCTGCCAYGCCCCTCTGCCATGATGTTCTACCTCACCTTGGGTCTAGAGCAATGGAGTAAGCCATTTAAGGACTGAAACCTCTGAAATGGTAAACCCTAAATAAACTTATAATTGGTCTTTTCAATCAATAGATCTTTTGGTCACGGTGATGAAAAGGCTGACCTAAAACAAATAATCTAGAAAAGAGTAGCCAAAGGAAAATAGGAAAATTCACAAAAATGTGGAAATTAACATACTCATTAATGGCTCAGAAAAGAAAAGGGAAGTGCTGGGGATATAGCTCAGTTGGTAGGGTACTTGCCTCACATGCACAAAGTCCTGGGTTCAGTCCCCAGCACCACACACAGACACACAAAAAGGGAAATTAGAAAATATCTTGAAAAATGAAAATGGAAACATGACATCAAAACTATTAGGACAGGAAGTGGAGCCTGGTGGGCGGAGTGTAGAGGCAGGCCTGGTGGGGACACAGCCAGGGCGAGGCCAAGGGCAGAGGCGAGGTTTCCGAAAGATGGGAAGAGGGATCCTTGGAGTCCGGCGGGTCTGCCTCCGAGCTCCACCGCCTGGCAGCGGCTGGCTGTGCACTCCCGAGTTGCCCATCAACCCGGGTTTTARATGGGCAAACAGGCTTGGAGAGGGGGAGGCACGGAGCACCTTCCCTGCCCCGGTGAGGTGGCGCAAATGCCGGGAAGGGGAGCCCAGGACTAGCTCCTAGGTGGAATTCCCTGGGGCCATGGGGAGTGCGGGCAGGGAGGTGGCAGGTCTGGAGGCCCCAGCTCCCTGGACCCATGGCCTCTGCCCACCTGCAGTCTGCCTATAGCCGGCTGGGATGCCTGTTTGGAGGGCGGTATTTAGTGTTTTAAGCTGTTTTTTTTTTTTTTTTTTTTTTAAAGTTGTCAATGGACACATGATGAGAATGGAACCCAGTGCCTCACACATGCTAGACAAGTGCCCTGCCACTGAGTGCCAGCCTCAGCCCCTTTAAGCTAACTGTTCTAAATGCCTCTCTCAAAATACAACTCCTGTGCTGCAGTCTAGCTGGGCACAAATAACCGGGAGGTCAAGAGCCACTTGTAGATTCAAGCAGGAACGAACTTTATTCCAGAACTCAGGCAAACTCCACGGGAACTCAATGGGAACTCCGAGAGAACTCAAAAGTAGCGGGCACCCAAGGTAGCAGGAGCCGCCTTATTGCCAGACAGCAGAGGTTTATATAAACAACTGAATACCCAGCTTGTTTCAATTTAGCATCATCCAGTTACAGCAATCAATCATCATCCCAATAATTATACACAGCTCAACTCAACCATTATCATCTTAATGGCTCGGTGGCGCTACCCCTCAACCATTCCTTCTGGCAAAATGCCAGGCACCATCTTGACTTGGTTGTGGCTCTCAACATCTCCCCCTTTTGTTTTTAAACAACAAGTATATGGCTTAGGGACCATGCCTGTCTTAGGTTGTCCAATACTACATATGGTCCTTACCCATCATCGGATAAGCTGACCTCAAGGCGTCAGCCTCCTGTCTTAGGTTGGTACCATTGCAATTGGATCTTACCTGTCATTGACTACCGGCCCAGCATTATTTAGCCATACTTGTGGATAACCTGCTACAAGCAGAAAGGGGAGGACACAAAATGCCACGACACCAAGCCAATTGACGGCCCCTTTTGGAAAAACTGTACCACTGATGACACCATGAGCAAAGATACCCCGGCACTACCACAATTCGATGCACCAACAGATAGTTCACAATGTATACAAGTGATACATAGTCCAAGCAAGTTCTTCAAGCAGTTCAAAGCAGAGGAATCCATTAATATGTCCATTTCCTCCCAAAGTAAATAGACTCCTTGATTGAGCATCACTTGTTGAGTTATTATTCATTGATGCATCAGTTTATACAGTTTGTTGTGATAGCTATCACAGAAGCTGTAGTTTGGTTTTCAGTCATCCTCTATCTTTGTCTTCACCGGCACTGGGATGAAGATAGGAATTCTGGCAATGATGGCTAAAAAAAAATTATGTAACATTCCAGCAGGCACTAAAAAAAAGCAATTTTCAAAACAATTTAGTATCCTGAATAGAATTAGATATAATGAAAAGGAAAGGTGAAAGTAAACAAACAGATCTGTTAGCCACATTTTAAAATAATCCTCAACAGCTGTTTACCTAATTTAAATTAAACCGTGTAAATCACGTGAATAAAAAAATATTTGGATCCATAAAAAAAAAAACAATAGGACACAGCATAACAGCATAAGGAATTCTAAGGGAAGTTTATAGGTCTAAATTTTTACATTAAAAAAGAAGAGAGGGGGCTGGGGTTGTGGCTCAGTGGTAGAGCTCTTGTCTGGTACATGTGAGGCACTGGGTTCAATCCTAAGCACCACATAAAAATAAATAAATGTGCAACTACAACTAAAAAAAAAAAGAAAAAGAGATCTCAAATCAACAACTTCACATAACACCTTGTCTTAGTTCTTTTTTTCTGCTATAACAATACCACAGAGTTTATAAATTATAAAGAAAAAACATTTCTCACAGTCCACATGGTGAGAGACTGAGAGAGAGAGAGAGAGAGAGAGAGAGAGACTGGAAGCAAGAGAGCATGTACATAAGAGGGCTGCTTTATAACAAAGCCACTCCTGCTCCAGGTACAGTGGCACATGCCTGTAATCTCAGCAACTCAGGAGACCAGCGCAGGAGGATTGTGAGCCAGCCTCTACAAATTAGCAAGAGCCTGTCTCAAAAATAAAAAATTTAAAGGGCTGTAGCTCAGTAGAAGAGTGTTTCTGGGTTCAATCCCAGTGCCGTAAAACAAAACCACTCCTATAATAACTAGCCTACTACCGTGGTAATGGCATTTATCAATTCATGAGGGTGGAGCCCTCATAACCCAATCAATTTCCAAAGGTTCCATCTCTCAAAACTGTCACAGTGACAATTAAGTTTCTTTTTTTTTTTTTTTAAAGAGAGAGTGAGAGAGGAGAGAGAGAGAGAGAGAGAGAGAGAGAGAGAGAGAGAGAGAGAGAATTTTTTAAAAATATTTATTTCTTAGTTCTCGGCGGACACAACATCTTTGTTGGTATGCGGTGCTGAGGATCGAACCCGGGTCACACGCATGCCAGGCGATCGCGCTACTGCTTGAGCCACATCCCCAGCACCCCAATGGCATTTTTTTGGTAAAAATAGAATAAAAGCATACAATAATTTATATGGAATCTCAAAAGAATAGCCAAAACCATCTTGAGAAAGTTAGAAAATAAAAAAGCTGTAGGCCTCACACTTCTTGATTTCAAAACACATTACTGAGCTATAGTGATCAAAACAGCTTGGTACTTGCATAAAGTTGGCCAATAGACTGATGAAAACAAAATACCCCAGAAATAAACCACATAATATAGTCAAGTGATCCTATGCCAAATCTACACAACAGGGATAATCTCTTCAACCAACAGTTTTGGGGAAATTGGTTATCCACCTATTAAAGAATGAAGTCAAACACATTACTTGTGTATATTTCACTGTATATATATTTCATACATATGTACACACACACATGAAATGGACAACAGGTATATAAAAAGATTCTCATATCACTAATCATTGGGAAAATGCAAATCAAATTCACAATGAACTATCCTATTAGAATGTCTGTTAGAATGGCTGTAATTAGAAAATGAAACAAGTGAGTTTTGGTGAGGATGTGGAGAAATTGGAACTCTTGTGCACTGTTGGTGAGAATGTAAAACGGTGTAGAGGAGAATATGGAGGGTCCTTAAAATTTTAAAAACAGAATTGACATATGATCCAAAAATCCATTTCTGGGTATATATCCAAGAAAATTAGAAACAGAATCTCAGCAAGATATTTGCACATTCGTTCATTGCAGGATCATTCATGGTAGTCAAGATGTGGAAGCAATCTAAGTGTCCACTGGTGATGAAGAGATAAAGAAATTGTGTTATATAACACAGCAGAATATTATTCAGCCCTAAAAAATTTTTATGCTACAACATGGATGAAACTTGAAGACATTATGCTAAGTGAAATAAGCCAGTTGCAAAAAGATAAATACTGCATAATTACACTTCAGTGAGGCATCTAAAGCAGAAACAGAAACAGAAAGTAGAATGTAGTTGCCAAAAGTTGGGGGCAGGGGAAACAAGGAGTTGTTATTCAATGGATATGTAGTTTTAGGTTTTCGTTTTTTGTTTTTTTGCTACCAGGGATTGAACTCAGGGGCACTTGGCCACTGAGCCACATGCCCAGCCCCTTTTTGTATTTTATTTAGAGACAGGAGCTCACTGATTTGCTAAGTGTCTTGCTAAATTGCTGAGGCTGGCTTTGAACTTATGATCCTCCTGTCTCTTTCTAGAGATTTGTTGCACAATAGTGTGCTTATTGTTAATTGTACTATACACTTAAAAATAGCTAAAATGGTTAATTGCTTGTTATTTGTTCTTTATCATGATTAGAAAAATTTGACAGCTGTCAGCCCTGAAAACAAAAAGGAGTAGGTCCACATGCGTCACATGCTATGGTATAAGGTACAAGATTGGCTGTTCACAGTGATGGCCCAAAGTCAATGAAATGATTAAATATTCAGACTTGTATTTAAGAAGGCAGGAAAACACATAATGCATGTAACCAAAAGATGTTCATTTTAAAAGGTTTTAATCTAGTTTTGGTCCCTTGGAAAACTCATTCAGATGGAACATTTAATTTGTTAGTAAAGCTGGGTAAATGGCACATGATTAAAATGCTTTCTCTCTGAAGTACCTAAGGTGCCACTAGGCTTCTGAGAAAATGAAAGCAACAAACATTAGAGGTTGACAGGAAGAGCTACCGTGTGTACATATATTTATGTACGTTTGTCTGTTCATTCTCCAGAGAATTATTACAAAAGAATCAAAATTCCAGCTCTCCCTCAACTAAATCAGGTGATGTGGACATGGATGACAACAGGAACCTAAAGGTTGGCATCATTGGAGGTGGCCGTCTCGGGAAGCAGCTGGCTCGTACACTGCTACAACTTGTCCCCATCCCTGCTGCAAGTCTGCGGATCTCCACCCGGAGGCCAGAGGTCCTGGGTGAGCAATGTGTGTTAGACAGTGGAGTTTAGATGTGCTGGTTAGATGATGACAAAGCCATTTTGAAAGTCCCTTTAAACGGGGAATTCTTGTGTACAGCACCAGAGTGCTTAGTTTGCTAGCTCCAAAAGCTAGAAAGACGGCTTTTAAACATGTGGTTTAAAACAACCTTTTTCTCCACTGAACTGTTTTATATCAGCCTCTCCTGCCTGTGTCCTTGGTGGTGAATTATCTTCTGGATTCAGGGAAGCTTTCCATACAAAGTTCAAATCTTCTAACTCAACTAGGTAAATTCTGGTGGGTGTTAAACAGTTTCAAATATTTGCAGTTGGCCTGGTAGTTTTTTAAAATAACATTTACTGGATTTCAAAAAATGTTTAATAATAATTCCATTTACTAACCTGTGTGATAGAAATAAGAGCAAGGAGGAATTATGAATATAGCTTAGTGGTAGACTGTTGGTTTTCTTTTTTTTTTTTTTTTTTGAGAGAGAGAGAGAGAGAGAGAGAGAGAGAGAGAGAGAGAGAGAAGACACAACATCTTTGTTTGTATGTGGTGCTGAGGATCTAACCCGGGCCGCACACATGCCAGGCAAGCGTGCTACCGATTGAGCCACATCCCCAACCCTAGTGGTAGACTGTTTACCTACCATGTGCAAGACCTTGGGTTCAATCCCTAGTACTGCAAGAAAAAAAAAATAATAACAATGATTACTTCTGGCAAGAAAGACTGAGAAAGGGCCTGGAGGAATTTCTGGGGAGACAGAAATATTTTACATCTTGAGAGAAGTATGAATTATATGAATGTATGCATTTTTACAACTGTTCAAAACATATACTTCAGATCTGTGTGGCACTGTATCTAAATCATCTTTCAATAATAAAACCTGAAAAATAAAACGACATAAATAATATATATTATAAAATATTAGAAGGAAGAAAATAATAACTACCTGTAATCTTCTTATCAGGGTTATCAGTTTTCTTGTCCCTGCCCTTTTCTTTTTGTTCTGTTGGGGATTGAACACAGGCCTTTGTACATGCAAGTCAAGCACTCGACCAACTGAGCTATATTTCCAGCCCAGCTTTCTTCCCTTTTGATTTCTCTAATTATCTCAGTTATTGTTTTAGTCAGCTCTATTGCTGTGTCAAAGAGAAAGGGTCTATTTTATTGCAGTTTCAGAGATCTCAATCCATAGATGGCCAACTCCATTGCTCTGGGCGGAAGGTAAGGATGAACATTATGGCGGAAGGACAGAGGAAAGCATCTCAGGATTAGGCAAACAAGAAGCAGAAAGAGGGCTCCACTCAACAGGGACAAAATACAAACCCCAAAGCCACGCCCTCAGTGACCTACCTCCTTCATCTACACCCTACCTGCCTATAACTACCACCCAGTTAATCCATACTAGTGAATTAATCCACTGATTATGTTACAGCTCTCATTATCTAATCCTTTCACCTGTGAAAATTCTTGCGTTGTCTCACATACCAGCTTTTGCAGGACACGTCAGATCTAAACCATAACGTTGATACTGTGCCTACCTGTTTGTATTATGCCTTTTAAATTTAATGTGTCATAAGCATATTTCTGTATCACTTCACAGTAATGATTTAAAATCCTTCCACTGTCCCTGTGAGCACTCCCTGTGTCTTCTGGGCAAGGTATGCTTACTGCCTCTGGGGTCTGGACATTTAGATGCCAAGGTGTGTGTCTGGGCAGTGGCTAGGAGTGCCAGATCCTCCATACCCATTCTACCTTTCTCTATTTTTGTGTCAGGATTTAAAATTTATTTATCTCAGTAAATAGATTAATATAAATATGAGTTTAAGATTGTATAGCATTCCAAAGTATGGGATATACTGTAATTTATATAACTGTGCCATAAATATTTAGTTGAACTTCCTTGTACATAATTTTTGAAAGTTATGTTTTATTTTGAAATAAAAATATTGGAAAGAAGAAAATAATAAGTACCTGTAATCTTCTTCTCAGGGTTGTCAGTTATTTCTAGATCAACATGAGGGTATAATGTTATTAAGATGTTATTTGCATACAATAAACTACATACATAGCATATAATTTAATGTTTGTTTTTTGTTGTTGTTGTTTTAAAGAGAGAGAGAGAGAGAGAGAGAAATTTTAATATTTATTCTTCCAGTTGTTTAGCGGACACAACATCTTTGTTTGTATGTGGTGCTGAGGATGGAACTCGGGCTGCATGCATGCCGGGCGAGCACGCTACTGCTTGAGCCACATCCCCAGCCCATAATTTAATGTTTTGACCTATGTACATATGTTAGTTTTATGTCACTGTGACCAAAATACTTAACAAGACCAACTTAGAAGTGGAAAAGTTTATTTTGAGTTCATGGTTTCTGAGGTTCAGTTCATGGTCTTCTGGCTCATTACTCTGGGCCCAAGGTGAGACCAAGACATCATGGTGGTAGGGTGTGGCCCAGGAAAGCTGCTCACTTCATGGCAGCTGGGAAGGAGAGGGTGGGGGCAGGCAGGGGAAGCAGGTGAGGCACCAAGGAAATATAAATCCTCCAGGCACACCCCACCTGCATACAGTTGACACCCACTTAGTCCATTCAAATTATTAGTCCATCAAATGGATTAGTCCACAGATTGGGTCATAGAACTTGTGATCTAATCATTTCACCTCTGATCATTCCTGCATTAACACAGGAGTGTTTGGGGGACACCTCATATCCAAACTATAATAGTATACCTGTGAAGCCATCAACACACTCAAGATAATGAGCATACCCTCAAAAGTTGCCTCTTGCCCTTCATGAATCTCTATATCCCTGCAGCTCCCCACCCAAGAATTTAATGACAATGATTTCTGTCTCTACAGATTGATTAGTTTGTATTCTCTAGAATTTTTTTTTTTTTGTATTAATGGAATCATACAGTTTGCATTTGTTTTGGTCTGGTTTCTTTTACTCTACATAATTATTTTGAGATATAACTATGTCTTTCATGTATCAATATCCTTTTTACTTCTGAGTATCATTTAATTGTATTAATATTGCATAGTTTATTCACCTGTTAATATAGATTATTTAGTTTTTGGCTATCACATATAAAGCCACTATGAACATTTTTTGGGGGGTGCAAGGTAAGCACTCTACCAACTGAACTATAGCCCCAGCTGCCACTATGAACATTTTTAATGTAAGTGTTCATGTGCACTACTTTCTTTTTTCTTTCTTTTTGTGGAGCTGGGCAAACTTTATATTCCCATTCCTTACTTTCATTTTTCTTTGGTAAATACTTGAGAGTGAAATGGCTGAGTCATGTGGTAAGTATATGTTTATTTGTTAAGGGATTTCTAATACTTTTTTTTTCAAATTAACTCAAAAAATCTTGTTCAGGTGTAAATTTTTATCAGCAATGTATAAAAATTGCTTTATTATGCCACTGTCAATGCTGGGAATCATTTTAACATTGCCATTCTAATATGCCTTTTCAATTTTTCCTGTTTTTAATTGATCACTAGAGGAATTTAATTTTTTTTGTAAGTTTATTGCTATTTCATCTTTTTTCGGTATTGGCCCATTTTTCAAGTTAGAGTGCCTATGTTTTTCTTACTGATTTGTAAATGTTCTTTCTATAGAAAGGAAACTTTTTTAAAAAGTCTTGTTACTCAAGGTGTATTTCTTTCTTTCTGTTTTTTCAGTATGGGGTATTGAACCTAGGAGCGCTCTATACCTGAACTACATCCCCAGCCCATTTTTTATTTTGAGATAGGATCTCATTAAGTGGTAGAAGTTGACCTCAAACTTGCAACAACCATCCTGCCTCTGCCTCCTGAGTCCCTGGGATTACAGGTGTGCTCGATTGTGCCAGATTAAGGCATATTTCCTAGACCCAGTGGTAGAATTAGTAAATATGATATTTCAATATAGTACATATATTCTTTGGGAAGCAATATGTTTACTAGTAATAAAATTAGTTTAAAAATTCCTCTGTGTGGGCTGGGGATGTGGCTCAAGCGGTAACGCACTGGCGGGCATGCGTGGGGTGCTGGGTTCTATCCTAAGCACCACATAAAATAAAATAAAGATGTTATGTCCACTGAAAACTGAAAAATAAATTTTTAAAAATTCTCTCTCTCTCTCTCTCTCTCTCTCTCTCTCTCTCTCTTTTCTCTCTCTCTCTTAAAAAAATTCCTCTGTGTGTTGTGTAAGGAAGCAAAGATTCAAAATGCTCAGCATCAGCTTCTATGCAAGTGTAAGGAATTAGAACGACTCATGAAAGAATGATGCATGCACCTCCTTTCTAAACTTTCTCTTTGTCCTATCTGTTTTCCAGGATCATGAGTATCTGGATAACCTCAGCATCATTTCTGTCATGTATTCTTGGTTGTTAAAATAAGAAGTCACCTCTCCAGTGTCTCTCATATTTTCTTTTTAAAAAGTTTGTCAGTGCATTATAATTATGCATACTAGTTGGATTCCTTGTTGAATATTCATACACATATGCAGGCACAATATAATTTGGTCAATCTCATTCCCCACATATCCTTTTTTTCAATGACACTTAAAATATGTGCCAGATGTAAGTGTATGCTTTAAATTCTCACTTTTGAAAATTTGTATTGCAGGAAATACAATCAAATGATTGACTACCAGTGAGTGTTTTTATGTACTCCATGAATTATCACATTTCTCTGTATTGATAAATATCCTATTAAGTTGTGTATACTTACATTATGAACTCGTTAAATCTTTTCAAACTCTTCCCAGCATTTGCTCTATACTTTTCTACTCTCCTAGTCTTACCCACCAACTCAAGATACTGAGCTGTATAACTTTGGGCAAGTCACACGGCATTCTGAAGTCTGAGTTTCCTCTTCTATAATATAGGAATACAACTGGGCTCTGCCTCAGAAGGTCCTTATGAGGATTACCTTAAGGAATGTACATAAAGTAAATTCTCTGGCCCATTGTAAATCTTCAGTAAACTGAAGCCGAGAGATTTTTTTTCTTCCTTAAAACTTTTTGAAGAATTCTAGCATTTGGTGTAAAAGTAAGATAAAAGTGAATTGTATTAGCATCTCAAATGTTGCTGCAGTAGCACTGGCTGCTTTAGCAACGGGCTTAGGGCCTGGCTGTGTAGCTCGAAGAAGACAGATAGGAGTGTCTTCTGATATGTGTGGCAGCAAGTCTTGGGTTGATTTACTGAGATAAAGTAGTGATCATCCTCTCCCCATAACTGATGCTCAGGTCAAACTCCTTGTACTGTGCTCTTTTTCTGTCTTCGTTTATCCTTCTCAGCCGAGTTCCAGAAGCTGGGGGTCCAGTGCTTTTACCATAATTCTGGTCTGGTGGGTTGGGCCAACGTGATATTCCTCTGCTGCTTGCCATCTCAGCTGCCTCATATCTGCATACAAATTCAAACCAGTCTTGAAAAGGCCTGCATTGTGTTCAGCTTTGTAGCAGCCATCCCAATACCCAGGTATCTCGTTAGGACAAGAACAGAATTGGCAGAACTACTGTTTTCTTATCTCTGACTACTGCTTCCCTCTTGGAGTTGGTCATTCCTAATAATAAAATAAGGCAGCTTGATCTGCTGAAAGACCCAGCCAGCCTTTCTAATTGTGTCTTCCCCAGTTTCCCACAAATAGTGTTTGTGGGTGAGATATTTGTTTGCTGTGTGAATGTTGAGAATTTGTAGGAGCACATTGTCTCCCACTACTTGAAGTTGAATGATATTCCTCTGTGCATCAATGAGAAGAGAAACTAACAGTCAACAACATGAGAGGTTACTACAAATATGTATCAAATATTATTTTTCTACTCCTAGTGTCTAGCTTAGTGCCTGGCACATGAAAACATTCAATTAGTGTTTGTTAGATGGATGGATGAACAATCCAACTAATTAGTGCCCTCATTGCAGACCCAGACCTGCATTTGCCTCTGAGCAGTGCTATGTAGGAAAGCCTGTTTGCTGGTGTTGGGTGTGAATGCAATAGATTATATACTTATTTATCCCAGTCTTTGGCATAAATGGCATTGCATTCCCAGTTTTGGTGCCTTCCAGGTTGAAACTATTATTGAACCACACCAACATCTTGCGACCTCAGTATCATTGTGTTGAGGATTTTGAGAAGATCTGGGGAGCCAATAAGGAAATCACAGCTGCTCTCCAAGATCCTGTGATTCTTCGGGCTACCTGCCCCTACAGTCCTGATGGTAACGATTCACTATATTTATGGTGTTCTTTTGAAATTGCCTTTCCCTTGCCTGTTCAGATCTCATTAAATCCCTGGATGGCGTTATTGTTGTGGAGAGCACAACTTAGATATATTCTCAGTCCTTTAGGTTTGGAATTAGATCTGTGTTTGATGATAAAAAGCAGCCATTATTAGGGAATATTGAGAAGGCTGGTTATCTGTACTCTTAAAGATGAAGTGGAAATAACCAGAGGAAATAAATGAGAGAATGCAATATCTGGAACTAAAATGGCTTTCCCATATTCTAATCTAAAATTTTCTCCAGTACCTTCCATTATTGGCAAGGACCATTCTGGATAAACTTTTGCCTCATTTGCAATGTCTACATTAGTCATCTGTCCTCCTTTGTATGGTCAACACATGATGTTATAAAGGGAAAATTGAGCTGTTACCTATTGGAGGGAAGAGTGTTTGCTCATCTCCAGGTCCTTATTACCAACCTGTGGCTTATAATCAGTGTCTCGGGTTTCTCCTAGGATCCCTGTAACTCATTTTTGGTGGTGCTGATTGGTATTTACCTTCTCATTGATGTGCAGGGGGAATAATCCTCAATATCAAATGGCTGGAGGGATTAATCTATGCAGCCCTAAACATGTGCACAGAAAGCAATGTGGATTGCCGACAAGCACTGCAGCTTTTGAATCAACTATTTCTTTCTGTTCACTTCAAAGACTGTATGAAACATGAAGAATCCTGCCCAGAATTTCAGCTACCACATGTCATCAGCAAATCCTATGTCAAGAACTTGCTTCATAGAAGGTAAGATGTCAGCCAGCCAACCATTCTAGTTCTCCCATATTCTTGGCTTAGTAGATGCTCTTTTATCCTTTCATGTTCTTTTTAAAAATTGATAAAATAATACATTCTTGTAAGAAATTTGATTGGTAGCAAAGTAAAAGACTCCTTTGCCCCAATCCCATTTCACAAATTTTACCTCTGTTTTTATTTTTGTCTTGTTACCTACCTATGTATTTACAAACACATTTATATTGCCATTATAATAGTGCATGCATATTCATTCCTGTGAATGGTGTCAGAAACATGGGAACTACATATACTGCTTTTTCATCCCATCCCATGTTAGCACAACCATATCTGCTTCATTTATGAGCAGTTGCATAGGCATCCATTAGAAACATTTATTAAATTTGTTCACTCCTATATCCACTTGATATTGATATAAATAATATAAATATTATTTCCTTCTGCCTCAACTTTTGTACAAAGGGCTGCTTTGAACATTCTTGTACTTATTTTTCACACTTGACCCAGGATTTCTGTTGAAAAAGTATGTGTATAAGTTTCTGGGTTAGATATCATATGTTTACTGTTTGACAGATATTCCCAAATTGCTTATAAAAACATTTCCACCAACAAAACAAGGGTGCTATTTCTGTATGGCTTGATAACTCTAAAATCAATCTTTTTAATCTTTGATATCACATAGTAAAAATTGTTGCTCTTATGATTAGTGACTTCTCTGTCATGAAATTCACTGTACAATTTTAACTCCTTTTCCTCTTTGACTATTAAGCATGTCATCCTTCTTGAAGCAATATCTTTTGTTTTTCAGGGTTCCCCACTGTTTTAGTCTACCTGTTGTAGCTGTGACCAAAAGACCTGACAAGAACAATGTAGAGGAGGAAAAGTTTATTTGGGGTTCATGGTTTCAGAGGTCTCAGTCTATTAATGGCCAACTCCATTGCTCTGGATTGAAGTGAGGCAGAACATCCCTGCAGGAGGGCATGGAGGAGGAAGGGAGCTCAAGATATGGCAATCAGGTAGCAGAGAGAGAGCTCCGCTCACCAGGGACAAAAAATAAACCTCAAAGGCAACCTCCAATGACCTACCTCCTCCATCCACAGCCTACCTGCCTACAGTTATCACTCAGTTAATCCATATCAGTGGATTGCTCAGGTTATAGCTCTCATAATCTAATTATTTCATCTTTGAAAATTCTTGCATTGACACACATGAGCTTTTGGGGGACACCTCATATCTAAACCATACACTCACATTCTCCTTATTTTCTTCTTATCTCTCTGATCTCTCCTTTTGTTGACTTCCTCTCTCCCATCCTGAAGTCTGGGAGTTTTTAGGGCTCTCCTAGGCCCTATTTTCTTTTCGCTCTACATTTGTTCCTGGGTGATCTCTTTGGGAACTTAGGTTGCCATCTTTGTTCTGATAGCTCATAACTCTGTGTCAATGCTGTTGGTAAGTGCATACTCTCCCTCTCTGTTGCAACGCAACATGTCCAAAGACACACCTGCTCTTATACCCTGCTCATTTAGGGTTTCTTACCTAATTACATAGTGCTTCATCAGGTTGTTCAAACCAGAACCCTGGAAGTAATCCTTGATTCTTCCCTCTTTCTTTTGGATTTCAGTTAATCACCGATGGGCAGTTTATTCTCTAGGGTGTGATATGCTTTCAGATTGAGGATTTTTCTTCTCTATTGTCTTGGGTTAATCTCTATTTTTATAATCTCTATTATCCTGGGAATTTCTTTCATCTCTTTGTTATTTTGTTTCTTGAACACCACTTGACTTCTGTGATAGTTGATTTATTATATTAGTAAAACATACCTTGTTGTATCTTCCTAAAGAAAAGGGTACACCAAAAATAACTTTTAGAGATATTTTGTATCTTAAAATGTTTTTTTCTTGCCTAATGTTTCACTGAGAACATAGCCAAATACAGAATTCTAGGTTGAAAATAATTTTCCCGCAGAATTTTGAGGCATTGCTCCATTGTCTTTGAGCATCCAGAATTGCTGTTGAGAGTTACAATACCACTCTAATTCTTGATCCTTTGTCTGAAATCTGTTTCTTTCTGATTTGGAAGCTGATAAGCTCTTTTTACCTCAGTATCTTGAGATTTTATTATGTGCCATAATGTGAGTATTATGGTTTGGATGTGAGATGTCCCCTGAAAAAGCTCATGGATGTTCAGAGGTAAAATGATTAGATTATGAGGCCCATAACCTAATTAGTTGATGGATTATTCCTTTGAATGGATTCCTGGGTGGTAATGGTAGGCAGGTGGGGTGTGGATGGGAAAAACAGGTCACTATGGGCATGCCCTTGGAGGATTATATTTTGTCCCTGGTTCCTCCCTGGCTCTCTCTGTTTCCCATATGCCATAAGCTGAGCAGCTTCCCTCTACCACACCCTTCTGCCATGATGACTTTCTTGGGCCCAAATTAATGGAGTTGGCCAACCATGGACTGAGACCTCTGAAACCCTGAGCCCCAAATAAACATTTCTTTCTCTAAATTGATCATTTCAAGTATTTTGGTCACAGTAACAAAAAGCTGACTCACACAGTGGGTCTATTTTAATTCACTGTTGAACACTTGGTGGACCTTTCTCCCTTTAACTTAAAAAAATTGTGAAATATAACACATACATAGAATAACTAACTATTCCATAAAGCTATAAATATAGTTTAATGATTTATTGTAAAACAAATACTCATGACTCTGCCACCCACAAAAACAAAGAAAAGATAACCACCACCAACAGCATATTCATTGGGATTTTGCAAACTAAATTCTTCTGTTTTTTCTAATTATGTCTCATAATTTTGTCCCCTCTCCAGTTTCTCTATTTTCCCTTTGTGGCATTTTTATTACTCAAATGTTGGACTTCTTGGATGGATCTTCTGATTTTCATCTTTCCTATCTTTGGTATATTTTTTTCCTCTGCTTTCTAAGAGATTTCCTCAATTATCTTGTTTTTTCCTGTCTTTTTTTTTTTTTTTTTGGTGGGGGGGGGGTAAGCCGGGGATTGAACTCAGGGGCACTCAACCTTGGAGCCACATCCCTAGCCCTATTATGTAGAGACAGGGTCTCACTGAGTGCTAAGCACCTTGCCGTGGCTGAGAATGGCTTTGAACTCCTGATCCTCCTGTCTCAGCTTCCAGAACTGCTGGGATTACAGGCATGTGTCACTGCCCAGCTTTTCTGTTGTATTTTAATAGCAGAATATTTTCTC